TGATGTGTTTGCACCGGGTCTCTGCATCTAAGGAAGCAGTCTTTCTCCTTGTGAGAAAGTTTGGCCAGAGGAGGCCAAGATAGAGATAGACCAGCATTTGAGCTTTTCCTTCTTGGCTCATTCTTAGTTTGTTGTCTCCCAGTCAGACTGAGTGGTATGAGAGCCCTGTGGTATTCTGGTACCTGCTGGGAAGTGTTCAAAGAACTGTCAGCCAAATGTCCTTTCTCATAGTTGAGTCCAGAAACCTTGGGATGATTGAGGGAAGAGGTTACCTGAGGTGATGCTCTGGGATGAGACTGTTCCGGGCTAAGCTAGCAGAGTCACCCAGGAAAAGGTCCCCTCCCTCAGCCCAACTCACCGAAGAGTCAGCATCCTCAGACCTCAGGTGGTCTGCAATATAGTGCACACCTTCCAGTGCTTTCCGGATCTGAGGTGACAGCAAGATCTCATTCTCCCCCGATGGTGCCATGATCTTGGGCCCTGAGGCTTCCAGGTGCAGACAGTCATGGCCATGGAGGACACCCATGGAAGGGGCTGGGAGGCCTATGCACACACATCTCTTTTCTGCCTCCTCTGCCTCATCCCTCTCTTCAGCATCCATATTGGTCTCTAGCCAGTGATAAGTAGGACTAAGCTTTGGAGCTTGGGGGTCATGGATCTCCATGGGAGGCAGGGGCCTGTTCATCAGCAGCCACCGGGGCACATGGCCTAGCAGGGCCACCCGTACCCAGTGGGGCATGTTGTGGGTGCTGGGGGAGCGGTGGTGCACATTGAGCACAAAGACCGTGATGACGATGGACAGGGTGACGAAGATCATGGTGAAGAGCAGGTACTCGCCGATGAGTGGGATGACCAGCGAGGTGGACGGGATGATCTCAGTGATGAGCAGGAGGAAGACGGTGAGGGACAGCAACACGGAGATGCACAGCGTGATCTTCTCACCGCACTCAGAGGGCAGGTAGAAGACCAGCACGGTGAGGCAGGAGATGAGCACGCACGGGATGATGAGGTTGATGGTGTAGAAGAGAGGCAGCCGGCGGATGACGAAGTAGTAGGTGACGTCGGGGTAGATCTCTGCACAGCAGTCGTATTTCTTGCTGTTGTAGGTGCCCGTGGCGTTGACGATGGCCCACTCTCCACTCTCCCAGTAGTCCTTCAGGTCTACCATCTGTTCCATCTGCTCCAGGTCGATCTTGGCCTTGTCGTAAGTCCAGGAGCCGAACTTCATCTTACAGTTCTGCTGGTCGAAGGGGAAGAAGGTGACGTCGATGCTGCAGGAACTTTTGTAGATGGCCGGGGGCACCCAGTGCACGGTACCCGTGAAGAAGAGGTGGGCCTTGGTCATGTGGGTCACTGCAAACTCCCCATCTGCACTGGGGAGAGGAGAGGAGGTGGGGCCCTGCACACCGCCTCCTCCAGGAAAGTGGCAGCAGGGCACCCCGTAAACAAGGCCAGCTGTGACTGGTGAAGTGGCACATTTCAGTAAGTGTGTGAATCTCTCCTGCCTTTTCAAATACCATAGTTTTAACTGCAAAAGTAAGAATTTAGGGGCTGGAGAGATGGCTTAGCAGTTAAGAGCACTAACTACTCTGTAGAGGACCCGAGTTTAGCTCCCAGCACCCACATGGCAGCTAACAACTATCAGTAACTCCAGTTCCAGGGGATCCAATGCCTCTTCTGACTGCTGTGGGCATTGCATGACACAGGTGCACTTACATACATGCAGGCAATACACTCATATACATAGAATAAAAATAAATATTTAAAAAGAATTTAATTTATTTTTATGTGTATGAGTGTTTAATCTATATGTGTGTAAGTGTACCACAGGCCTGCAACGCCCAGAGAATGTGTCAGATTCCCTGGAACGAGAGTTACAGACAGTTGTTAGTTGCTGTGTGGGTACTGGGAACTGAACCCAGGTCCTCTGCAAGAGTAACCAGTGCTCTTAACTGTTAAGCCATCTCTACAGCCCCAATTTTACCTAATTAAAAAAATTATTGTCATTTTGATATTATATTTGACTGTCATAAATTGCACTTTAAATAGTTTTGCATATTTGATTTGGGGGCAGTGTTTAAGACAGGGTCTCCCTGTAGCTCCTAGACCAGGCTGGCCTTGATCTCATAGAGATCTGCCTGCCTCTGCCTCCCAGGTGCTGGAATTAAAGGCTTGTACCACCATGCCTGGCTAGTTTCACATATTTGAAATCATGAACTATTTGTAATTTTATTCCTTTTATTCAGTTAATATTTTTGAGTGACCTTTTTAATGAAGAGCTCCATACACAGCTCAGGCAGGCCCAGAAGTTGATGGGTGGATTCAAACTTGCAATCTTCCTATTTCAGTTTCCCGAGTGCTGAGATTACAGGTCTGCTCCACCATGCCTGGCTATTGTGATTTTGTTCATTATTTATGGTGGCGGGGAGCAGGGGAGGGGCTGGGATTGAATTTAGAACATCAGACTTGGCAGCACCTTCACCTGCTGAGCCATCTTGCCAGTCTTATAATGACTATTTTCTAGTGTTTTCCCTCACCAATAAATGGAGAATAATATTCAGGAGGGGAAGAGCCTGATTTTTCTACCTGGATCTTTTGCTCCTTGCTCAGAAGGGACCAAGTCTTGGTTGAAGAAACTTCCTGCAGTCCATGGGCCAGCCTCGTCCACTAGGACCTGTACCTGAGGACCATGAGGCATGATCCCTGCCCTCTGGGACCCATAAGCAAGGCACGTTCACAAAACATCACTGCAGGAAAGGCAGTTTGGCAACACCCTAGAGGCATTTGGAGTGCTCAGGAGACCTGGGGAGGCTTCTATTTGAGCTGAGCAGGGTCACTGTGAAGACTGACATTTAATAAGACCTTGACCAGGGTAGGACCTGGTGCCAGATGGGAAGACAGCGATGAAGCAGAGATTCAGTCTCATGAGAGCAAGGAAGAGATTTGGCAGAGGTTGTTGGGGACAGTGGGACACACCTAAGTGGGGAATGTTGAGAGGGGAGGTCGGCCGCATCCTGGGCATATGAAGATCTGCACAGACTCTGGAAACACCAGAATGGTGGTGACCTGCTAGGGAGAACTTCCTGGAAGTCTGAGTCTCTGACTCCCCCTGGGTGCTGGTACAGTCTGGACTTTAAATTCTGTCCCTTCCTCAATTCCTACATTCAACCCAAAACCTGGATGGATAATTTTGGTCATTTTACATAACTACCACTAGATGGCAACAGGCTCCCATTTGGGGAACTGAGTCATGCAATTTCACTGACCCTTTGCCTATTAACCTGTGTGGTAAGAAGGGTACGTGGGTGGGGCACACCCCTCTTTAAATGCCTGCAAGAGTTTGAACTAGCCTTTGCCCTGTTAGAATTTTTTGTGGTAATCAGGTATCAGTGATTAATGTCTTACTAGCAATCTTAAAACTCAGTCCTGTCTGACGCTAGGACTTTGCTTCTGACCTCTCAGACAGAAAGCAACTAGGAGAGTCTGTGGTGCCAGCTCTAGGGCACAGAAAAGGAGGGCAGGGGTGAATCTCACAGCAGTAGCAAACAGCAGGCACTTGACAGTTAGACCTGCCTGCCAGGGGTTTTGACAGACATACTGTGCTATATCCACAGAGCCTATTCATGTCCCAAGGAAGCTGCAGGGCTGTGCCCGCCCCCCTGCCCCCGAGAATCCTGCCTTAGGGAAATAGAACACCAGCACTGCTAAAGGAAAAGCACCGTGTGTTTTCTCTCTTAAAGGGCGACCTGACGGTGCAACAACTTGCTCCAGCCGCATACTGCCGTCCTTCAAAAAACCCACCCCTAGGCATTTATTTGTTTAATGAATATTTGGAAATGGCAAGTCTTTGTCCCACTTAATATGAGGCCGGAGGCTCAATAAATGTTGAGTACAAGTGGGAGACATAAAGGAATAAACAGAAGGGAGAGGGTCTCAGCCAAGCAGGCCAGAAAGACAACAAAGGAGACACCAGGGGGAACCCTGCAGAGTCCACTTTCTTTCCTAGTCCCTCCCAGGACCCAGCACAGCCCTACCAGGACACTGCCCCCCGCCACCACCACCCCGGCTTCCTACTTGTTGTAGAGGACAATGTCGGGGATCCAGATCATCTCAGAGGGGACCCTGAGAGAGGTGATGTTGCCAAAGTCAGCTGGGTTCCAACGCAGCTTGTAGTCACTCCACTCCTGTTCGTGGGGACAGGATGACATCAGAGCACTGCTGTGGTTCGGGGGAGGTGTCTCAAGACCATCTGCACTGAGATGTGGGGCTTAGGTGTCCCCCAGAGGCCCTCACCCAATCTGGCAGTATTGGAAGGTGCTATAACCAGGAAAGGGCTCTGACCTGAGAACCAGGTAAGCTGCCTCAGATAACCAAGCTGTTCTGCTCTGTTTAGCAGCTGAAGTCCTGGCTACACCACACACTTGTCTCCCTTTCTGGGTGCACTGCGCACTCATCCCCCTATCTGGGTACAACGTACACTCGTCCCCAGGCAAACACCTGTGGGCCCTTCATGCATCTGTCATGCACTCACTTATTTTCAGTGCAGGGCTGGCCACAGGCTTACAGTGAAGACAAGGTAGTCACCTGGGACCTCCTAACTGTGCTCTGAGGACCTCCCTGTCCAGGGGTTACAACAGCGAGAGGATGCACTGGGCCCCAACTATGCTCCTATAGAATAGGTCTAAGTGAATCTTACAACCAGACTTTGGGGGTTTTGTTTGTTTTAAAAACAGGATCTCATGTAGCCCAGACTGGCCTCCAACTTGCTATGTAGGTGAAGATGACCTTAAATTTCTGATCCTCTGGCCTCTGCCTTCCAAGCATTGGGATTACAGGTATGAGCTATCCTCTCAGTTTATATAATGCTGGGAGTCAAATTCAGGGCTTCATGCATGCTAGGCAAGTATTCTACCAAACTAGGCTGTGCTTCCAAATCCCCAAAGCAGGGTTCTAACTTTTTCTCTAATCCGTCTGTCAGGTTATTGGGTTCAATCAATATCGGGGCACCTACATCAGGTGGGAGCATGGGAATCCTTTCAGGTATATGGTAGATGAATCACCCCACTTTACAGATGAGGAGAGTGAGGCACTTGAGAGATTTAATAACTTGAGCTGAGCATTTCAGGCTAATTCCAGGCAACAATGGAAGGCCTGGCTCCCACCACAGTGCTCTTACCTCGTCTCCCACTCCAGACAACTGTGGTAACCTAGGATCCAGACCTGTCTCCTCAGAGCATAACTATGTGGCTTTCCAAGTCCCTTTTCTTAGTCTGTCACCATTGGTGTATCTGCACAGACAAGCCTTGTAATCTCTAGTGACTCAGAGGTGAACTGTCAGATGCGGCAGTATTGGTTCAGAGCCTCCCCACCCAAGTATGTAATTTAGAAGGCTGACACCACTCAGGACCCAGTGAGGCAGAAATTAGAAAATAGGGCAGAGCAGGAGGGATACGATAAGGGAGAAAATACATTCTGGCTCTAATCAGACTTCAGTCCCTGATTCTGCCCATGACAGAGCACCACAGGTCTTTGGCTCTCCTTCCTTCCATAGAGAGATGGGATCTAGGTCTCCTCTCCTAAGTCCAGCTGGGCTCCTCTGCTCCCAGGACCAGTGGAATAAGATAAGATTGAGGCCAAACCAATTAGGGTCCAGAAGTGACCATCAGCTACCACATTCTGCCTCATGGGACCCTCATTCAGTGACTTTGGGCCACCAGATAAAATTCCAACAACTCTTCTGTCAGAAAATCACCAGTGAAGAACAGGGAAAGTGTCTAAAAGGGATGGGAGCTCAGCTTTCCAGAACCTTTTAGAGCCGTCCGAACACCCCTGCAAGGGACAGACACATAAGGGAAGCCATCTGAGACAGTTCTCAACAGACTAGCCACTATCAGCCAGATGTCACCAAGTGCCCTCTTAGATGCCCACAAAGTGGACGTTGTCAATGAGATTGAAAAGTCTTTGCTTAAGCCTGTGAGCTCTGGAGTCATTTGTCAGGAGGCATGGACTGAGCCCTCAGGAAAGGAGAAGGATTGGAGCTGGGTGCACCTGGGTGCCCCTTTGTCTGGCTCAGGTACACACTTTTCTCACTGCAAAATGGAAGGGTAAGCAAGCCCTCTTATGGGGCCAGGATGGCACTCCTGTGAGGTCCCAACTGTCCTCCAGGATCTGAGACTATGAAATGCCTGCTTCTTAGGGCCCATGGGTGATTTGAGCAGTGATCTCAGAGCCTGGCCATGCAAAAGCCAGCCCGTGAAGAGAAGCAGCCTGCAGGGGGGGCTGGCTCACACCCTAAACAGGTGCTGATTGTGATTTGTGAATTTAGCATCTTGCTGTTCCTTGACCCTTTAGTGGTCAGGGTCCTAGACCGGGCTTGGGGACTGTGGATGCCTGCCCCTCCTGCAGGGGAGGCCTTACCTGCTTCAGCCAGACATTGGTGGTCATCATTTGGTTTTTCTCATCCTGCAGGGAGCAGAGACAGAGAGCAAGAATAGTTGGAGTAACAAATGAACCAGCCCGGAAGACAGGGTGTATAAGAGGTACTTCCGGGATCCACTCATTGGACACCCAAGCCCAGCCACCCCTCCTGACTGTGCCACCAGCACTCAGACTCCTCAGGATCACACAGACTACTGGGAGGCTCTGGACATGTGTTCTAGAAAATGGTCTGCTGGCAGCTGATGTCCTCAGAGGGGCATGGTGGCAATCAGGGTAACTGCATGCTATGTCTTGAGTGAGCTTGTGGGAGAAGGGCTAGGCTTCATCCAGGGAGGACCATGGGGAGAGAGAGGTGTGCTTAGGGATGATCCCAATGGGGCATGGTGCGAGTACAAGAGGTCAGGCCCACCACATCGATGAGCTGGGCAATAGATAGTCCAAAGCGCACGATGACCACGTCAGAAGTATTGGGCACTGGTCGTGCCCAGCGGTTGTAGCCCCCAAAGAGATGCTTGAAGAGGCGGTCCTCGGCCTGGATGTGGGAGCCTTGCCGAGCCAACACTGGGATGGAGAGAGGAAAGGAGAGGAAGGGTCATGGGACCAAGGAGGTAGCCACGCAAACTCTTTTCTAGTTTCCATCAAAGCAGAGACTCCCCCACCACAACCTCACCTGAGCTCAGTTGACACATCTGTAAATAGGGATGTGAATCCAGAGCCCATCTCAAATCCTGCTGAGTATTCGATAGAATAATGTGTGGCAGCACTTAACATGGCTTGAGGACGCCATACCATCAGAGGTCACTATCAGCGCCTTCCTGACATTAGGTAAGAAGGACTGGAGGGAGAAAGCAGGGAGGGGAGGGAGGGAGGGAGGGAGGAAGGAAGTACCCAGCAGGAAAGCTCAGACCTACAGACCAGTCTCAAGCCAGACACAAGGGGCCCCACAGAGGGCAGGGATACAGGGGGATGCCAGAGGGAGCCCCTCCCCACTGCTGTGAGCCTGGCTGGTGGTGAGCTGCTTTCCTTCCCACTGACTTTTCAGACAAGCCATTAATGTCCACCAGGACATCCTCTCCAGTGGGGAACACCACCCTGAGTTTTTCTTAAACCACAAGCTCTGGCCAGTTCCTATCACCTGGACAAAGCTCTGCAGGACTGGGATTGCTTGTGTCTTTTCCCATCCTCTACATCATAACAGCTTCCCCACTACAGGGCTCTGTTGCCTGAACAGGCAGAGAAAACTCCAGAAAAGCAGCAGCACCATCTGGGACAGAAAGCACAGCAATACAACAGCCATCATGTGTGTTCTGAATACCCACCCTAGACATGTATGTCTTCCACACTCACCTCAGCTTGTGTGTCCCATGCACCTGCCCTAGCCTGTGGGGGTGGGGCACAAGCCTCCTGTGTGCCCACAGCAGCCGTGGCTGGCATACTGTACAGCTTTCCTTTTGCAGATGAGGACACTGAAGCTTGGGGACATTCAAGGTGACACAGATGCTCATACCAGAGCTGTGACAGCCCCTTGCTGCCCTCTCCCTGTGGAACTAGTCAATGACCTTGGATGACCCCTGTAGCCTAGAGGATGCATCGAGTTGGCCTGCAGTGAACTCCTGCTCCCCATGAGGCATAGTCATGAGGCGAAGTCCTGGCAGTGGTGTCTACTCACCTGCTGGCATCAGAAGGAGCCACCAGAGATGGAGCTGCATCAGGGGCTGGAGAGTGGGACGGGAGGGGCCCATGGTTTCAAAGAGTCCTGGCTTCCCTCGGACCCCCGGGAGCTGGCTTCTGGAAGTCCCCATTTCTCCTCTGCACCTGAGCAAGTCCAGGGTGAGGGCTGTTAAGATAATGCATCCACAGACATCTTTGTCTCTCATACTCTATGGAGGTTTGAAAGATGAGCAAATGGGCCTCATCAGGCCTACCTGGAGTGCAGGGCTCCTGGGTTACCAGCTTGACTGATGAAGCAACTTCCTCCTCTTTTTCAGAGTCACATAGCTAAGCTAAGGCAAGACTGAATTTCAGACAGAGAAGGGAACTGGCATCCCTGCTATACCAGCCTTAATGCTTTGTCTGTAAAGTGAGGATAATTACACTGAAAGGTGGTCAGCAGAAGGATGTGGCTACTAATGACAGCGACCCGAAGATGGAGGCAGCAAACACCCATCAGATGAGCAAAGGGTGATGTCGCTAAACAATAGAATAGAATGCAGCCATCAAAAGGAATGAGGGTACTGCTGACACATGTGACAAGGACATGGCAGGGACAAGAACATGCTGCATGAAAGAAGACAGTCACAGAGGAGGACATGTTGTAGGAGTCTGCATAGGGTCAGTGGAGGCCAGGTGAACCTAGAGACAGGGAGCGGATGGGTGGAAGGCAGAGGCATGATCAGCGAGTGGGAAACAGGAGCCACTGCTGTTGGTCATTGGGCCTTTTGAAGTATTAAGAAGGTTCTGGAATGCCATAGTGGTGATGGTTATATAATTCTGTAAAGATACTAAAATTTACCAAATTGCATATTTCAAATTGTGAATTTTATGATGTGAATTATATTTCAAAAACCTCTCTTTTAAAAAAATATTTTATTATTTTTATTTTATGTCTATGCATGTATTGCCTGCATGTATGTAAGTGCACCTGAGTTGTGAAATGCCCTCAGAGGACAAAGGAGGGTGTCAGATCCCCTGGAACTGGAGTTACAGACAGTTGTTAGCTGCTATGTGGGTTCTGGGATTTGAACCCAGGTCTTCTGCAAGAACAGCCAGTGTTCTTAACCACTAATCCATCTCTCCATCCCTCAAAAATATCTCTTGTTAAAAAATGAACATGAAGAGATGGCTCAGCAGTTAGGAGCATTGGCTGCTCTTGCAGCACCACATGGCAGCTAACAGTGATCTGTAACTCCATTTCCAAGGGATCTGATGCCCTCTTCCGGCTTTCATGGGCATTGCATGCACATTTATACATATACATGCAGGCAAAACACTCATAGACATAAAACAAAGAAACATGAACATGCTCTTGATTAATAGGAAGTGCTCACCCTCCACAGACCGTGGGATGATGAGCACAGACACCTAATGTGGGAAGATCCTAGGCATGAGAAAGGCCAACACCAACATGAACAATGATGAACTGTTCAAATGTCTCACATGGTGAAAGATGGAGAAAAGCAGCATTTCTGAGTTAATGCATTGCTTTACATACTTTAGAACACGTCATTAAAATGACATATCGAATACCATTTTTAAAAGTTTACATATTCACAGGCTTGGGCAATGACTATGCTAGTGAAATACTAGCCTTGTTAGTAGAAGGACCTGAGTTCCAACCCCAGTACCTGTACAAAAAAGCTGGGTGTGGAGGCATGTGCTTGTAGTCCCAGCTCTGGGGAGGCAGAGACAGGGGAATCCCCAGGGCTCCCTGGCCAGCCAGCCTAGCCTGATCTACAAGCCCTGGTCCCAGTGAGAGACCTGGTCTCAATAAAAAGGTCAAAAAAGTAGACACTGCCTGAGAAACAATATCTGAGGTTGTCCTCTGGCACACACATCTGCACACGTGCATCTCTGCACACGTAACATACACACATGGTTTTACATACTCAAATTTCCACTCGGGCACTTCGTATGTATGGCCTTGAGACAAAACACTGACTCTCAGTATACACCATAGGCACAGGCTTCCTTCTCAAAGTGATGAGAATGTTCTGGAACTACATAATGGCAATGGTTACACACCATTATGAATATACAGAATGTCACTAACGGTTAGTTTTATATTATATATATATATATATACACAATTTCAAAAGGAGGAGGAAGAGAAGAAGGGCGGGGGAGGAGAGCAGTGCTTTAAACACCGAAATGGCCAGATCCACTTGGGAATCTGGAATCAGAATTGTTACCAAGTGACCCACAACGGTGCTCCTCTTTGGTCCTCATCCTCCCGTCCACCTTGTCCCAGGCATTACCAGCTTCTGCCTCTCGCAATCCCATCACCACTCTTCACTGTGTTCTCCCCTCACCTCACACATGTGAGGGACCTACAAATGTGACTTTGAGTCCTGGCCACATCACCAACCCCACTGGGAGTTCAGCTGATCCATAGATAAGGTGGACCTCCCACAACAGGTACACAGTCCAATGGGGTCATAGGTGCCTGTGTAAACTCCAGAGTACCACAGAGAGGACCAGGCACCAGGCTGCTGCTGTGGAGGTCAAGGCACTGTGACATCTCCAGTGCCATCTCACTGTGACTGTGCAAAGTGGTGGGAAAACGAGTGGGGAAGGGCTTTGATTTGAATGTCAACATGCTGCGATTTCAGGGAATCATTATTCTGGAAGTTCCAGGGCATGTTTGGAAGGTGAGAGCTCCCCTTGCATCAATTTTCCCAAAAAGTTCCAATTCAAGGGCTCATGAGAAATTGACATTTCCATTTGTCCCCCATTCCCTTGAGAGAACACTGCCCTGACCACCAGCCACCTTTCCTCTGGCGCCCCTCTCAGCCTGACCACACCTTTCCTTGCTCTGGCCTAGCTCTCTTACACGTGTATGGCTCTTTCCTGGCGACCCCTCCCCGCTGCAGTGTCCCAGTGAGTAGGTAGAAAAGGCTAGTGATTCCAGAGGGTTGACAGCTCTGGGGAGTCTCCCAGAACAGGGAGAGTGGCAGAGGGACCTGGATGTGGGGAGCAATGCTTACAGATGGCACCACCCTCAGACACCTCTGAGGCCACTTCTGTGCACACACCACATTCGGGCGCAACTGTCTTATAGCAGTGCAACTTATATACACGCATACATACACATTAATCTCCCCCTGTGGACTGTGAATTGTGCATGTGGTTAGTGAGGCACCAAGCAGCCTGGGCCTCCCCAGCAACTTCTGTGGCCGTGGAGAGTAGCAGCTGAATCTAGATTCTGGGATCCTCCTGGGTGCTTTTGCTCATCCCAGAGACTTCATTTTCTGGGAAAGCAATCACGGGCAGCTTGTTTTTATGTTTTGATCTTCCTTTCTCCCAAGTGTGTCTAGGTCACCTATTATCTCGGATTCAAGGATTAGAGGCAATTTTTACTTTTCGATCCTTTTCCACATTTTCCAAGTGTCTGACCATAAACATAATATAAATATTTTTTGTGTAGGTAGCAATATCCATTATGTATTTTCCATGTTTCCCCCTAGCCTCAGGAGATTGGGGTTTACTCAGAAACACACAGACTTGAGATTCTGTTCCTCCATCTAAATAGATGGCAATGATCAGGGTGAATTGTGAGAGGGGAAGTAACTCATGTCCCTGAGAGACATTGATAAACAGAACATGGCCTATGTATATAGTGGAAGACTATACAGCCTTATAAAGGAAGACGAGCCTGACCCATTTACAACAGGACTCAACCTTGAGGACATAATGTTAAATGAAATCAGACAGACACAAAAAGACAAACACTGTTTTCCACTTCCACAAGACACCTGGAGCCACCAGATTCACAGAGACAGAACTAGGAGAGAGGTGGGGAGAGAAGAGATAGTAGCTAAGATGTGAATATCAGCTGGGAACCATGCAAAGGTTCTGGAGAGGATAGAGATGGTCATACAGCCACGTGGCTGTACTTTCCACCACTGAACTGCAGGGTGCAGTTAATCGTGTTACGAATATTTTATCACAATAGTAACAACATCCACTGGGTTCACATGTAATCTCACTAGGGCTGAGACATCTGAATGCCGGACAGAAACTGGGGCAAAGGTGGCAGAGACTCTGGCAAAGAACAGAGGACTAGGATGTCCTGTTGTGACCTCGCTCCTTGAAATGAAGGCTGAGTCTCATTTCACAGCCCACTATGTGGGTTCTCGGTAGAAAAAGCCTCCTATGAAACTTTCCCCAGGGAGAATGGGAGCCCAGGAGAGTTGAAGGGGGAGTCAAGGCTCACCACCAGGCTAGGAAGCATGACCAAGGGAAATATTCACTCCCATAACCTGTTGGCTTATTTTTTGGTGGATTTTTTGCATGTTTATGTGCATATAGTGTGTGTATATATGCAGGTTTCCATGTGTGGGGGCACATGTGTGTGCATGTGCATGCACATATGTATGCATGCATGTGAAGGCCTGAAATTGAAGTCTTCCTCCATCACTATTTACTGAGGCAGAGTCTGTTTGCCCTCACTGAACCCTAAGTTCACTGATTCTTGCTAGTCTAGATATCCAGTTTGCCCCAGACATTCCCATCTCTTCATCCTGCTGGGATTAGAGGTGACTGTCTCACCTGCCTGTCTTTTACATAGATTCTGGGGATTTGAACTCAGATCCTCATACTGGGTGGCAGGCACTTTGCCCACTGAGCCGTTTCCTTGGCTCCTTTATTACTTATTCTCTATTCATTTCTTTTCCCCACGTCATCCTCAGTCAGGATCAACACTGTGCCTGCCAGGTAACAGGGACAGAGAACTGAGTTACTTGTGGGGCACAGAGAAGGCCCGTAGAAAGAAGAATTTGGGGCTGGAGAGACGGCTCCTTGGTTAAGAGCACTGGCTGCTTTTGCAGAGGACTGGGGTTTGATTCCCAGCATCTATATGGCAGCTGACAACTGTTCCTAACTCCAGTTCCAGGGAATCTGGTGGCCTCTTCTGACCTCTACAGGCATTGCACAACACAGGTGCACTTAATATTTTATTTATTATTTTTATTTTATGTGTATGAGTGTATTGCCTGCATGTATGTGAGTGCACCTGTGTTATGCA